GATGACAAGAAGATGATTCAACCCCCAATGTTGTTTGGGTTGAGGTCCACTTACAATTACCAGTGGCACTATTGCCATTAAATAGTGCTGTACAAAGTTCTGGAAAAGACAAAGGGATTGTCTTCAACGAAGCAGCCTTTGGATGTCCCTAAACCCAAAGTAATAAAAACTAGTATAAGAATACTTAAGAACTTCATACCTAAATGTTTGAAAATATATATAAAACATACCTTCCTAAATTCTTCCCATTCCTCGTTCGTTAAGGTGAAAGTGTTGGTTTGTTGGTTGTATAGGTTACCGGTTTTGTTTTTCAGATACACCCATCCTATGTATTTTGCTTTTAGATTGTCGTAGGCATTTTTCATTTGTTTTTGACTCAACTCCATACCAAACCTTTCCTTAAGAACTCTTCCTAATTGAATTTATGACTCCTTATGCAAACTCAATCCTTTCCTTCCAACATTGTTTATTTCTTCGATACAAGTTTCCAATAAGCATTTTAAATGCTCATTGGACTATTGTTGCTTCTCTCCCATGTCTACACACACAAATCAGCATACACAACAAATACATAACATACAAACATCAAATTCATAACATACATACATATATAAACAACAAATACAATATATACATACATATATATATAAATCAGCATATATATAATAGCCTAGTTTAAACTTTTATAATAGCCTAGTTGTTTGCAAAAGTCAAATGCACAATGAAGAAGAAACATGTAGAAAAAAGCTAGATATCTTCAAACAAAAATCGATGGTCTTGAAGCAGCAAAAACAAACAACAAAGAAGCACTTATTTGTTAACAGGAAGGTCTTAGGAGGGTCTCAAAGCAGCAAAAACAAACAGTCACATACACAAATCAACATACACAGCAAATCATACCTGTGGTAGATGGCCGGTGACGAGGGGGAACAACGATCAAGTGGGGAACAACGAAAGGAGAAGTGGCGTAGAGAAGGGTTTTTTAGAAGGAGAACTCGTTGAGGGGAACAAGTTTTTTTTAGGGGGAACAACAAATCAATTCAGTAATCAAATAATCCATTAACAAGATTTAAAAAAACAATTTCAGAAGAACAAGAAATGAGTGAGAGCGATTTTCTATGATTGCATTGTTTTAACACATTTGAAGTTATACAGAAAATATATCAGCCTTGTATAGCCGTTGAAACAGTCGATCCAGCATCCCTAATCTGATTTTTGTTTCTTTGAAGATGTTTGAAGACCTTTGAAGACATAAGGACACGTCTGCGCGACGCATACATAAGAGCTTTGCAGACCTTATACAATAAAAACAAACACAACCTATGTAACAATTCAAATTTGATTGGAACACAAAGTAAAATAATATATGCTTACTAACCTAATTTTATTATTATTCATATTTAATTTGCCGTAATTTTAATTTTATCAATTTATTTATTAAATTTTAGATATTAAATTTTTTATCATTTTATCGTTAATAATTAATTATATTTTTATTTTTTTATTATTATATTAATAAAAAAATAAAAAAATAAAATAATACCCCAAAATCACCAAATTAAAAAAAAAATTACCTCAATCCCTAATTACAAACCCTCACCCTCAGCTTCGACGGCCTCACCCTCTCTTACTTGTCTCTTCCTTTTCGGCCATCCCCGTCCATCTACACCTTCAAGGCGACGATTACATTTCTTCTCTGTTTTTTTAATAAGTGAATGTGACTGAAATGGAAGGGTTTCGGATTCATCTTCAATTTTCACTGAGTCACTATAACATCGAGGTCAGTTTTTTCTCACTTTCAGTTTCAACGGTTTCCATTTTTTGTCTGTCAAAGCTGTAAATTTGAGCAAACTTTTTGCCTTTTTCTATTATTTGGATATGAAAACTGCTTTGGTTCAAGAAAGACAACGAAACTTTTTATTTTAATATATAAATTTTATAGATGAAATTAAACTTATTGCTTTTATTCTTGAAAACATCCTTGTGAGTTTGTGGAAACAAAGTCGGGGCTTGAGAGCTGGATTGACAAGGAAGCCAAGGGTTAAAATGCATGTGATGCCGTAACCCAAAGCTTTGCAAGTTGCAGAGATCAAGGCGCTGATTCAGATGATTACAGAAGCCAATGAACTTGCTAATTAGTGGATTGACGATCGTCTTCACGGGATTGAAGGTGGTCAGAGGAGGAGGATGTTGGGGTGGGGTTGGGAGAGGGGAAGGGTGGGAGCGATCCATTTTTTTTATTTTCTAAAATATTATACGTCATATTTTAATATTAATAAAATGTATATAATCATTATATATTAATAAAAAATAACATCATCTATTTGTTATTGAATAAACACATCATCTATTTGTTATTGAATAGACGATCGTTTGATGAAAAGAAATTTAATGTTTAAAGTTTAATGAATAAATTAAAAATAATTAAAAATATAGTGAATAAAATAAAATAGATAATAAAATTATGAAGTGAATAAATTGAAAAGAATTAAAATATAGTGAATAAAATAAAAGAGATAACAAAAATTCTGAATAAACGTGTAATTTACCGAAAGAAAAACTGAAATAGTGATAAAATTTTTGGATATAAACAGGCCCGCTGGTCATTGCTTTGCAGATTAAAAAGATCTCTTAATTAGATTTGAAAGAGAAGTTAGGGTAATGGCGGAGGTCAAAAAGCAAAAGCATTTCATTCTAATACATGGAGCATGCCATGGAGCATGGTGCTGGTACAAAATCAAACCACAGCTCGAGTCATCTGGCCACCGTGTGACGGCGGTCGACATGGCAGCCTCAGGCATCAACACAAACCAAATCCAGGCCGTTCACTCCATGTACGAATACACTAAACCATTGTTGGAGATATTAGCCTCACTTCCTGACGGTGAAAAGGCTATTCTCGTTGGACATAGTTTGTTAGGCTTGAATTTGTTGGCCCTGGCAATGGACAAGTACCCGCAGAAGATCTCAACTGCTGTTTTCTTGACTGCTTTCATGCCTGATACTGCACATAAACCTTAATTTGTTTTAGAACAGGTACCGTAAAACAAATCCCTGCAAAAATTTTCCCATGAATTCTTTGTTTTTGTTGAGACTGTCTTTTATTTTCTGCAAAGTACTGGGGAAGGACACCACCGGAGGCTTGGTTGGACACTCAATTTGCTCCATATGGAGAACCAGAAGAGTCTTTGATGTCGATGTTTTTTGGCCCCAAGTTGAGGTGCTGGTTTTTCAATCCTTGGTCTCCGTTCAAAAATTCTCAAGTATTTAATAATAAGTGTTCGAAACTGAAACGTTAAGGATAATAATAACAATAAGGTCGTGTTTTATACAATGATTTGTATACTTTGTTTTGAAGGATCTGGAGCTGGCAAAGGCTCTGATCAAGCCAGGATCATTGTTCGTAGCCGATTTATCGAAGACAAGCACGTTGTCAAACGAAACGTACGGAAGTGTTCCTCGAGTCTACATTGTGTGCAATGAAGACGAAGGGATACCAGAGGAATTCCAACGGTGGATGATCGATAATTTTATGGTGAATGATGTGATGGAGATCAAGGGTGCAGATCATATGGCGATGTTGTCAAAGCCACATGAACTGTTTAATTGTTTGTCAGAAATAGCACATAAATTTGGCTGATGATATTAATGGAGGGGCCTTTTGATTTGTTAAGCGTTGGTTTTTTCCCCTTGGAGATACTGTTGTTTATGGGGTTTGCTGGATTGTTCCGACGGAAAATCTCTGCCGCTTATTAGCGTCTCTTGTTTCGTCTTTCATAATAACACGCCACTGTATTACTGTTAATTATTTTAATATTTTTCAGCATTATTTTTATTTTCTTTTTAGCCAGAATTTATTTTTCATGTATATGCTAATTTTTTCTTATATAATTTATTTGTTAATAGTGGACATTAAATTACATTTAATGAAATTAAATCTTGATTTTGTTATTATTATAAAAAATTATTATATTATTAATTTATAGTTAAATTGATATATTAGGTTTATTAAAAAATTAATATATATCATATAAATTAGTTACATTTTCATTAGCATAAAATGAGACACATGAACATCCTTAATCATTCAGTCAATTAATGAAATTCAATCAATTTTTTTATTGATACATAATGGTACTGATATATTTTGGTCTATCATTTTAAATTTATTATTTTTAAAATAAATTTTATATATTATATATAACACGATATGCTTCAATCACACACACACATATAAATAAATTTATATGAATATACGAATCGTAGTTAGTTTGATATTTTAATTGAAAGATTATACTTTATTTTAAATATAATTACGTAAAAATTAGTTAAAAATGTCAAAAATTTTATCAATGATACAAGTTTTTTTTTTTTTGGGTACAACAATGATACAAGATATTAATCAAAATAAGTTGAAACACGCCAATATAGTTAAAAACCTATTAAAATTTTAACCGAAATATTTTTTTGAACTTCTTAATATTAATTTAAGGGAAAATTCTACTACACTTATCACGTACTATATTGTATTATTAAAGCGATATATCAAAATATATATCTTTATTATGTAAATATTAAAAAAAGGAAATTGGGGTCATGAAAATAGGGGGTTGGATTGTAATTCTACCATTGAAAATTAAAATTCACACCTTCGTGCAAATCAATGGAAACAACGGGCGCCGCCTGCAGAGCTCCTCCTGTTGACCGATTGGGCGATTACGGGGATGATTGTTGGATGACCGTGAACCGGACAACTACAAACGATAGCGTTAGATTTGTAATATAATGTTTTTTTTTATAAATAGTGACGGATAAAATATAATTCCTTATCTACGTGTCTTGGCTACAACTGGTTAACTGTCGTAATCAATCACCATCATGATTTGATCCGTACTTCCCTCTCGTTTAAAATCAATGGAGTTTTATTCGGTAATTACTACTAGTAATTTATTTGTTTTAGGCTTTTAGCTGCTTTGCTCAAGTAATCCAAGAAAATTCTGAAGTTTCTTAACATTCGACAATGGCTTCTCATCATGGTACGGGCAGCGATTATTCACCAGAACCATACCATTTCTTCAAAATCATTCTTGAAAGTACCATTCGAGATAACAGACTTGTAAGCATATATCTTCGAGTTTCGACTAATGAAAAATGTGATTAAATATTGAGTTTCTTTTGCAATTTAGAGTATTTGCATGTTTAGTAGCTCTATTTTTGGTGGGTTAACAGGGGATTCCTCGCAAGTTTGCAAGAGATTATGGGAATACACTGTCAAGCCCAGTATTCTTTGAGGTTCCAAATGGTGAAGTGTGGGAGTTGGAACTGATAAAACTTGAGGATGGAATTTGGGTGCAGAATGGCTGGCGAAAATTCGTGGAGCATTACTCGTTGGAGTTGGGACATTTCATGGTTTTTAGGTACCAAGGGAATTGCCGTTTTCATGTGCTCATATTCGATAGAAGTGCCTCTGAGATTCATTACCCACATGCAAATGACAAGGAGGGAATTCACCAACAAGCTGTACCGAAGATTGAAGAAGAAGACTCAGTGCATATCATGAATAACAACTCTACAGGTAGGAGAAAGATTATGAGAGCTGATAATGATGGGTATTCAGCTGGAAAGGGAGAGGTGAAAAAAGTGAAACTTGGTGAAAAATCTAAAGCTCTTATGAGGGCTCGTAGTGCCTTCAAGTCTGAAAATCCGTTCTTTTTGGTTTTCATGCAACCAGCATATGTTGATCTTCATTACAAGCGTAGCCGTTCTCTGGTGAGCTGTTCTTTGAATCTGTATTTGATCTTTAGTAAGCGAATATATCTTCTGTTTGGTAATACTTTTTTTTGTTGCAGTATGTACCTAGAGAGTTTAGCAGGAAATATTTGATGGACCATGGTCATGTAGTTCTCCGTGATTCTGATGGCAAAACTTGGTCCGCCGAGTACCGCACTATCCTAGGACGTAACGAACGACCCTATGTTAAACTCTGCAGTGGTTGGGGCGCTTTTGTACGCGACAACAACATACAATTTGGTGATGTTTGTATATTTGAGTTAATTGATTGCATTGACATCTCATTCCAAGTGTTCATTTGTGGCGGTAATCATCGATCAGTTGCGAAATTAGATGCTGGAATTTCATCTACTCATCAGGAATGCCTGGGGCCATTGAAGCTCCATGAAGCTCTGGAATTGCCATCAGAAGTATCTCCTGAGGTCGATGATAATCAGCATGGAACATCAAAGACTCAAACCGGAGAGGATGGCTTAAGAAGTGAGAAAACAGAATGCAATGCATACCCTGAATCAAGTGCATTGCTATTCTCAAAGAACAAAACAAAGTTTGAGAAAGGGGAGCCTACTGTGATCAGCCTTGATGTCCTCTCTTCAAGGCGTGAGCGTCCTCTTGTTGGTAGTAAGCCACCAGTTACCCCTCTGTCATCCCCCTTGCCTCCATCTTCCAGCCCCGGCCGCTTCTCAAGGTTGAAAAGCATATATATACATGAACAAAATATCATACATGAAGTTTTTTTTTTTTGATGAGTTTTTCTTGATGGTGGTTCTTTAGGTTGCAAAATACTACTCCAGCGACTTATTCAGAGGCGGCTTTGGCGAAAAAGGCTGAGCTTTTGGAGGGTGTGGGACTGAAGGTTGGCAAATCAGAGGTGTATACTGAAGAGCACGAGAAGCTTTTGGGTGACACACAGAGGAGCTGGACACATTTTGTGGATGGATATGAAAGTGATGGAAGACAGATTTATGATGCCTTCAAAGGAATGACTTGTCATCAATGCCGGTCAGGGAATCTTTCTTATTTCATCTGCATAATATCTTCCATGAAATACGATATACTTGCACAACATGATTCGATCATACAATTTTCAGCTTCCAGCATTGGTAGTTTTAGTTTCTTTCTGATTTAGAAGGAGCCAGTTTGATTGGAGGAAACATAATTCGATCGTACAATTTTCAACTGCCAGCATTATAGTTTTAGTACTTTCTTGCTGATCACACTTCAGTTTCACATGCTTTAACTTGTATGACAGCATTTCTGTTTATAACTGTTTTCAGAACAGATTGTCCACTAATAATGTTATTTATACCACTCAAAATTTTGTACCGTGAGTCGTGATGAAAACAGTGTTGTAGGCAGAGAACGCTTGGTCATCATACTCGCTGTAGCAAATGCTATATTTTCCGAAGGCAGTTCTGTGGAGATTGTTTATACATGAGGTATGAATTTTTGTTGATGTATATATGCTTCACTCATCCCCTTTCCTCAATCTTATATTGCAGTTGTAGATTCTCTTGCATATGTCACTAACTATCGATGTTTCAAGCATTCAGCTAGAATGTTTTCTTGTCTATCGTTCTAAGAGTTTGAGATGTTCATTCCTTTCTATTGGTGGTTTTTGCTGTTAATTTTCATTATAATTCTACAGGTACGAGGAGCATGTTCTTGAAGCCAATGAGAATCCAAATTGGGTTTGCCCTGTGTGTCGTGGAATTTGCAACTGTAGTTCATGCCGGAAAGCAAAAGGATGGGCTCCTACTGGCCCTCTTTATAAGAAGGTAAGTCCATCAGTTGTGCATTTTCTTGCTCAGACATTTTTTCTATTGTCTAAGCTTCTTTGTCCACTTCCCAGATAAAGAAAATGGGGTTCAAGTCGGTTGCACATTATCTCATTCAAACCCGGCGTGCACAAACCAATGTCGAAAAGGTTCCAGATAATAGTGATCAAGTTTCTGCTAAGAGGTCATTGTCTTGCCCTGCTCCGGAATTGCCATCAGAAGAATCTCCCGAGGTTAATGATAATCAGCTTGTAACATCAAAGCCTCATACTGGGGAGGATGGCTTCAACAGTGAGAACAAAGAATACAATGCATACCCGGAACCAAGTACATTGCTATTCTCAAAGAATGAAACAGTGTTTGAGCAAGCAGAGCCTACTGAGACCAACCTTGATGTCCATGAGCAACCGGGATTTTCGGAGCCGAATTGTGGGGACAAGATAGATGATGGAAAGGAATTGGATTTCAGCAACAAAGAACCTGGTGGTAATCCTGTGACATTAGGAAGCATGCCTGAAAAGAAACTTGCATTCTCTGTTGCAGACAGTATTGCCGGGAGACTAAGACGAAGGCGTGGAAAAGATACGGACTGTATAGCCAGACGATTGAGGCCTCGAAACAAATAACATCGAAGAAGTGGTTTCATCTAACTCTTTTGTGGGATTGAGTTCATCATGGTGATTTTGGAGTACTCAGAATTTCTGTATGGGGCTTCTAACTAGTTGTAAACTACCTCTTAAGCCGTGCATTCAGTTGGCTTGCTTTTGTATCACAAGTGTTTAGTAGGTGAACGAGCGCATTGCAACATTTGGGTCAATGCCAAACCCTGTTTTCATGGTTTAATCTTCATGAATCAACAGTTTACATCACCTTTAACCTGCAATTGCTTTAATGTATCTGTTCTTACCAGCTTGCTATTATCTTCAAATCTGTGCTTGATTTTAAAATCACAATTTATTGCAGATTCAGAGCCACAAACAAAAACAAGCTTCGACTTTGAAGACTAAAAATCCTTTTGAACACTCGGCCAATGGCCTCAGCAGTAGTAAAAACAAAGGAACATCTAGTTTAGATTATTCATTGGTTGTATTAAGGAAGTTTTTTATACATGCTTTAACAAAATTCGATTTTTATTTTTGAACTCTGTTCGATTATAGATTTTGTTTTAATTATTTCTTTCTTTTATCTCCGGGTAAAATACATTTATCATTTAACTATAGGCATGTAAATGAATTGAACGCACAAGAAACGGATGTATGTTCATGTTCGTTCATTTAATAAATAAACGAACATGAACATAAACGAACAAATTTTTTTTTTTGTTCATGTTCGTTTATTAAGGAATATAACTTGTTCATGTTCGTTCATTTAATAAATAAATGAACATAAACGAACACGAACATAAACAAAACGAACATAAATGAACATAAACTTTGGAGACCCTACCTAGGGGTGTAAACGAGCCGAGTCAAGCTCGAGTATTGCTGAGCTCGACTCAAACTCGAAAACTTTCAAAGTCAGCTCGACTTGAAAACTCGCGAGCTTAAAATTATCAAGTTCGACTCAAACTCGAAATATAATATTGAAACTCGACTCGAACTCGACAAGGCTCGAACTCAAAAAAAATTTAAGAGCTCGATTAAAACTCGAAACTCGAGCTCGATTGAAGCTCGATTCTGAGCTCGATTCAAGCTCGATTCTGAGCTAGATTCAAGCTCGACATTACCCCAAGCGCAAAGATGCTTAAACCTATTCTCCCCCATCTTCTTTTATATAAGTTACCAACCCCGAGCTGTTTATTTGCTACTGATGTGGGATTGCATAACGTTCCTCCACTTTCTTTCTTCCTCTCTCCTTCAACAACAGTCGAGATCAACACATATTGTGTTTCATGTGATTGCCGACCTTAATCCTTGGGAATCAAACAAACATGTCCTTAGCTTCGTACTATGTAGAAGTTGAAAATTGGGACTCCTCTTTGCTCATCGGATAAACCAGCTAGTGGCGCAGTCACATAGGGTTCCGGCGTAGTGGATGTTGATGGTGCTGGGTATGTAGCTTATGGATCATTCAAAATGAACTAAACCATGTTAATATTGTTGGGTTTTTCAAATAAAATTGGATTAATTATGGAGTTGGTCATCAGAATATCAGATAAATTAATATTTTTAAAATACTTACAAATTGGTCACCAAAATTGATTTAAGAAGATTGAGTTAAACATAAATTAATGAACATAAACGAACATAACCGAACGAACATAAACGATCATAACCGAACGAACATAACTGAATGTTCACGAACGTAAATGAACGAACGAGACCTATGTTCATGTTCGTTCATTTAATTAAACGAACACAAAATCTTATTCATGCTCGTTCTTTTAATAAATAAATGCACATAAACGAACTTTCTGCCACACGGTTCATGAACGGTTGGCTGAACGTTCAGTTCATTTACAGGCCTATTCAACTATCTTATCACTTCTATTTTAGTCACTGGAATTTAATTTTTTTTAGTTTTATCATTAAATTTTGAACATTTAACACTTTGATGACAAAGTATTTTCTATTAATTTTTGAACTGCCATGTAAGCAGCACCAAGAATTTTATTAATATTATATTTTATATTTTTTTCCGTTTTCCGTCGGTCACCACCTCGGCACACTCGACCATTGTTCAACCTGAGCCTCCACCGCCATTGTTCTGAATGCTTCCACTTCCATCATTCAACACAAAATTTTCCCCAATTGTCAAGCCTTCAAACAAGATTATGTAATCTAAACAATATTCCAACAACCACATAAGACCAAAACAAGAATAAAAATAAAAAACTAAGAAGAAGAAAAAATCATACCGAGTTCTCAGATTCTAGTAATTTAAGGGCTCTGATCGTAAATCACAACATTCAAAAAATAATATATGCATTGAAGAATAGCATATCTCAATTAGATAATGATCAGACGATGAAAGGGCTACAAGTTGAAACTATTTGGTTCGAGCTTTGATTCGAGTTATTGTAGTTTTTGGGTTTATTCCATGAACATCTGAGTCGAGGAATGAAAAGGGAGAGGGAAAGTTTTCATTTGGTATTTGTATCAACACAAATGATGATCGGAGGAGTATGGTGGTGTATGGCAGCAGTGGTATCACCACTATATCTATGGAATTTGAGGCGTTTTTTCAAATAAATAAACACTAGATTCGCATTCAAAATGAAGAGACACACTCGATAATTTTTTTTTGAAGTCATTGGTCTCCAATGACAATGGCCTGTAGTGATAAGAATGACAATCGACGTGGTAGTAAAATTTAATGTTTGTCTAGATCGATAATATAAATGGAGAGAAAAGAGATGAAAAAAAAAAGATGAAGGAAGAAAAGAAGAGAAAAAAAAAAAAAAAGTTTTTACTTATATCAAAATAGTATTTTGCCTAAATTTGATTTTCTTTGATAAGATTATGTTATTTTAGTGTTTGTTGTCATGTCATAAAATCATTAATTATTTAATAAAATACTGACTAAAATAAGAATAATTTAAAAATTAAATAATAAAATAATAAAAAATTTAAACTTCAGTAATTCAGTGATTAAAACAGGATTAAATTTAAGAAAATCAAGAAAAAAATGACCAAGCACTAATTTAAGCATGCGCTCGCTATAATATAATTATATATAATTACGTAAGGTAATTAAATACTCATTATTTCAATTGATAAATTGGGTGACATCTGTAGACAAAATAAACTACATTCCAAATACTCCTCAATTGTTATCATAGCTAATTCAATTTGAATGCTCAAATTATCCCATTGACTCAAATAAGTTTTACAAGTGGAACACTACATTATATAGCAGCCACAGCATAAAAAATCAAAATGGTAAAAATTGTGGATGATCATAGACCAAATTTATCTTATTTAAAGGTTTCTTGTCAAATAAATAAAATACAGCAACTGCCAAGAATTTAATAAATATATAAAAATTCATTAAAGATATTTAAATAAATATAGAATTTGATATATTTTTTTGGACTCATGTATCTTTAATAAAAGTATATCACTGTTACTGCCGGTAGGTCAAACGTTAGAGTTTATATTGATGGTTTTTTTATTAAAAAAAACAGATTTTTAATTTTCATATTATTATTGGTTCAACATCTTAAGTTTTGTTGATGAAATAAAGATGGTCATTTATAGTAGTCCATGCTTTTTAATTTAAGTTAAAAATTATATTCGGTAAGAAATTAGTCGTTAATTAAGAATATTGATGATAAAATAAAAGAGAGTAAACAGTAGCCCAAAGATTCCCCTTTACCCATGAGTTTATATATTGACTTATAATATAATGTTAGTTTCAGGCCTATGACTATAATGGTTATCTGTCGGGAGTTATGTTCACAAGGAATACCCTTTTTCACTACTGGCCATCTCTTCTCGTTGCCACCTTTGTCACCCAGTTGATATATAAACTTATCAGTCGTGTGGAAAGAACGGCAGTGTACCGGAAGCCCGTGGCGCTTGGCCGGTTATCGGCCACTTGCATCTCTTTAGCAGCAAGGAAATCCTTTACAGGACACTTTTCGGGCTATCTAAAAAGTATGGACCGGTTTTTAGTATTAGACTCGGATCCCATAAAGCTTTGGTGGTGGGGAACATGGAAATGGCGAAAGAGCTTTCGACGGTCCATGATAAGGCTTTCGCTACCAGGCCAAGTTTATCTGCCTTAAAGCTTCTAGGTTTTGACTATGCTATGTTCGGGTTCGCTCCGTACGGGGATGACTGGCGTGAGATGCGGAAGATAACGACGCTAGAGCTTCTGTCGAATCACCGGCTCGATATGTCGAACTTCAAGCAGACGCGGGCCTCGGAGGTGCAAATCGGGATCAAAGACTTATACAACACTTGGACGACGAAACGTGGAGAGCAAGGCAGTGGTTTGCGGATTTAACTCATAATCTGGAGTTTAGAATCGTGGTGGGGAAAAGATACTACGGGGACACCGCAAATTCCAATGAAGGAGAGGCGCGTCAATGCCAGAAATCGATTAAAGAATACTTTCATCTGTTTGGGACGTTCATTTTGTCTGATGCGATACCGTTTCTTTGGTTGTTGGACATCGGTGGACATAAGAAATCAGTGAAGAGAGTGGCCAAAGAATTGGACGTTTTCGTACAAACTTGGGTCGACGAGCATAAACAGAAGAGAGTGTCTGCTGGGGAGTGAAAAGAAGATCAGGATTTCATGGATGTGATGCTCACTATCACCGAAGATGCCAAGCTCAATGGCTTTGATGTCGATGCAGATATTATTACCAAAGCTACTTGCCTGGTAAACTACCTTCAAACCTATCATTTCTTAAGTAAACACTATTTTCTAAAGGGAAAACTACAGCTGTCACCCAACTATCATTTTCAAAATCATCACTGATGGTTATGTTTTGATTTCATTTTGATCATTCGCTATTAAAAAACTTAACAGTAATGCTTACATGTCACCATAAAACAATATCTCATCATCATTGAAAAAAATATCAT